AACTGTTCTCTATTGGGCTCTCCACGGTACCTGGCAATCCTCTGGCTACGTAGCTAGACCCTTTCTCTTGTGTATACTGTGGGTTTTTACTTTCTCACATTCTTCCAATTGACAAGAGTACCAATCACAATCCCTCTAAGTCATACTCTGATTTTGCACAAAAAAAAAATCAAAGAAAAAGCCCCATAAATCTTCATGCCATAAATGTATTTTACTCATGCCTGTTTTTTCTCCTTTCCCTGCTACAAACACGGAAATACAGACTTTTCCTTTCTAAGGCTAAGAATGCCATTTCAGCTTCTTTCTCATCTTCTCCTGCCCTTCTAACCACTTCATCGGATCTATTATCACATCTCTCCTTATCTGCAGACGTATTTCTATCAACATTTAAACATCTATACAAGCGTCTCTCATCTTCAAAAGAATTCTTCCTTAATTTCATGAACCAAACACTTCCAGTCACTGCATTTTTTCATTCCCTTTTCTCAGCTAAACTTCTTAAAGACGTTTACACTTACTTCCTGCTTGCATTCCATCTCTGCCCAACTATTGGATTAGGACGCCACTATTTCACTGAGCCCACTCTCACTTAAGCAAGGGAAGATTGCTTCGTTGTTAAATTTGGGGGACACTGAACCTTACGTTACTTGACTTCTCAGTTCCATTTGATACTATTGTCCATTCTTTTTAATTGTCCATTCTTTAAAATAAAAAAACAAAAAACCTTTTTTCTCTTGTCTTTCTTGATACCTATGTACCTTAGAACTTACATATTCAAAATTAACTTGTTAATTTCTGCTTAGTCTTCTTCCCAGGTGAATGGCATCATCTGCAAGTTGCCCAAGCCGGAAACGTAGAAGAGTTACCTTTGATTCTGTGCTCCTTCTCACTCGCCCAAGCCGGAAACGTAGAAGACTTACCTTTGATTCTGTGCTCCTTCTCACTCAGCTGCCTCCTCAATGTTTCACAGCTGGATTGCTGCAACAGCCTCCTACTTCCTGCCCTTTCTCCAGTTTTGCTCGCATCCAGTCCAGAGCAGTACTCTGGAGGGAAAGATCACAGCTATACTGGCCACTAGATTCTAAATATTTGCTATAGATAAGTTTGAAATTAGGCACCAAGCTTCCTGACAACCAAGGCAAAATTGAAGGGAAAGTAATCCTCATACTTAGAGCTTGTTCTAATTCTAACACTCTAAACCAAATTTCTCAGAAGGAGATTTATAAAGGAAGCAATAAACGATGTAATGAACAGTGCCTCAACAACGTTCCTAGGATATATCCTGTAATTTTATTGGCAATTATTTATGGAGTACTTCCTCCAAGCCAGGCACCGTGCTCACCACTGGGGATCAAATAGTGAATGTGCTTGTTTCTTATCTAATCTCATTATTAAAACCACGTTTTTGCATAATATTAAATGCAATCCTCTGAAGACAATTTGGCTGGGAAAGGGCTTATTTCCCAAAACCAGGATCAAAATAACAGCCCCTTAGTGTTCCCCCACTTCCTCCAACCACCCTAACCCCCACCCCCCATTCCACATGGTCCTGCCCTAGGTCAAAACTTCCAGCTCCCCCGGCTGCTCCCCCACCCCTGTCTCTTAGATGGAATCTCACTTGGTCACCCAGGCTAGGCCCAGAATTTCTGCTTGTATGGGGAAAAGAGCTCTTTATTTCCAGTTAGACTGCTTGAGTCATTGTGTAATGAAGGAGTGAACTCTGAGTCACCAGTTTGAATGGGAGATGAAGCTGCAGGCTGCAAAAGAGATCAAAAACCAATATTATCTGAGCTCACTCTCAACTCACTGCAACCTTTGCCCCTTGGGTTCAAGTGATTCTCCTGCCTCAGTAGCTGGGATTACAAATGTGTGCCACCATACCCAGCTAATTTTTGTATTTTTGGTAGAGATGGGGTTTCACCATGTTGCCCAGCCTGGTTTCAAACTCCTGACCTTAGGTGATGTGCCTGCTTCAGCCTCCCAAAGTGCTGGGACTCCAGGCGCGAGCCACTGTGCCCAGCTCAGCCTCTTTTAAATCGTAGCTCACTACCACTACTATCACACACAAAATACGTCTGCGCTCCCCATGGTTTGTCTCAAATGTGTCCAACAGTGCTTTTAACACCACATGAAATCTGCTATTTTCCACCCTCACTTACTCTGGTTTATTCTGGAGATCTGCTGCTGAGTCGTTCCCCACACTCCCCACACTCCTCCTCCAACACAACACGTGAGCCCCAACAGGACCACTGCTGTATTAGTTCATTTTCATACTGCTATAAAGATAGTACAATTTATAAACAAAAGAGTAAATTTACTCATAGTTACACATGGCTGGGGAGCGGGGAGGCCTCAGGGAACTTACAGTCATGGTGAAAGGGGAAGCAGGCACCTTTTTCGCAAGGTGGCAGAAGAGAGAGAAGAAGGAAGACTTTCCAAACATTTATAAAACCATCAGATCTCGTGTGAACTCATTCAGTCATGAGAACAGTATGGGGGAAACTGCCCCCATGATTCAATCACCTTTCTCCCTTGACACATGGGGATTACAGGTCCCTCCCTCAGTATGTGGGGATTGTAATTCCAGATGAAATTTGGGTGGAGACACACAGCCAAACCATATCCATTGCTGTTGTTCATGCAGGCTAAAGGTATTGCTTGTGATGACTGCCCAGTCTGTGCTGAGGCTGCCAGAGTGCAGGATGGGGACTCAGGTTGCTTCGTCCATGACTGCAGAAGATATTGGCACCCAGAGGCCAATATTACATTGCCCTGAAGTTGCTCTGATGGACTAAAACTACCAAGGCTGCTGGAGGGCCCTCAGACACTACAACTGTACCATGTTTTTGCTGAACGTTCGAGAACAGTTCTTCTCAACCACTAGGGTTACATTTCATTATAGTTTCCAAAGCAGTGCTGTCTGGTTCTCCCTGACGCCCTGTTGAGACTAAAGTAAAACAGTGTCTTGGTCTGCTCGGGCTGCCATTACAAAATACTACAGACTGCATGCCAAAAACAACAGAAATGTATTTGCTCACATTGCTGGAAGCCAGAAGTCCAAGGTCAGGGTGCCAGCGTTGTCAGGATCTGGCGAGGCTCCCGATTTGCAGATAAGTTGCCCGTCTTCTCACTGTGCTCACATGGCCTTTCCTCAGAGCATGGGTGTGGAGAGAGAGATCCTTCTTTCTATTCTTATAAAGCCACCAATCCTACTGCATTAGGACCTCACACTTATGTCTTGACTTAACCAAAATTGTTACTGGAAAGGGGTCCTGATCCAGACTCCAAGAGAGGGTTCTTGGACCTCAGGCAAGAAAGAATTCTAGGTGAGTCCATAGAATAAAGTGAAGTTTATTAGAGAGAAAGAGAAACAAAAGAATGGCTACTCCGTAGATAGAGCAGGGGCATGGGCTGCTCAACCGAATATACTTATGGTTATTTCTTAATTGTATGCCTAACAAGGGGTGGATTATTCATGAATTTTCTGGGAAAGGAATGGACTTCCTGGAACTGAGGGTTCCTCCCCACTTTGGACCATATAGGATAACTGCTGACCAGGCATTCTTAAACTGTTACCGGGCGCTGATGGGAGTGTCCTTTGGTATGCTAATGCCTTACAATGAACATACTATTAGCAGTGAGTTTGACCATAGGTCACTTTCATGAAATCTTGCATTTGGTGGTTTTGGTCAGCTTCTTTATCACATCCTGTTTTATCAGCAGGGTCTTTTTGACCGTATTTTGTGATAGCAGTGCTGCTGATCTCCGACCTCATCCTGTGGCTGAGAATGCCTAACCTCCTGGGAATGTAGCCTAGTAGGTCTCAGCCTCATTTTACCCAGCCCCATTCAAGATGGAGTCACTCTGGTTCAAATGCCTCTGACAAAATCACCTTCTAAAAGTCCTATGTCCAAATACAGTCATTTAGTGGGTACGAATTTGGGGGAGACACAACTGAGTCCATAGCAAATAGTATTCAATTTTTCATCACATCAGGACACCCAATAAGACTCTTAAAAGTGAGTCCATTGGCTGTGCTAGGGAGAAAATTGTGACAATATGTAGTGTTCCAAAATGATCCTCCCCGCACGAGGGAACACTCAGGACCTTCCAGCTTGGTGAACAGAATTTGCTCTCAGGCCAGGAGCCATGCTCTGTAAGTATGCTGTCTTTACATCCGGGCCAGCTTGATCCGAGGATAGGAGTTAGAATGATTAAAGGAATGGCTGGATGGCATACATGGACTGTCCTCACGAACGTGTCTCCTCTGTTTGGCCTTCACCTTGAAATAGACAGATAATGGGTTCCAGATTGCATCCTCTTGTAAAGATCTTGGAACACAGGCTTGGGGTACCTGTATATTCAACAGAAATCAGTCTAGCAGGTGGTAAGGCTGGCATTTTTCTGTGTTTTTAAGTTCTTAGTCACTGGGACAACACCCACAGGCAAGGCCTGGCTTTTTCCACAAGAAATATTCTGGATGGAAGTAAACACAGCAGTGAGCTTAAAATTCTACATGCTTACAAAGACTTAAGCTTGAGAATTTTTTTAAAACAGAGAAGGGAGTAGTATATGGCTAAATATGAAGTTCCCAGTCTGTGTTTCGCAAATGGTAATCACTCGGCAGGTGTCTCAGCTCCTAGCGTCAGCAAGCAGGCTTCCAGGACTTGAAAGAAGTCTACATTCAAAACGACTCCCCTCCACCACCCAATTCTACTCCTGTGCTCGCATTTCTCCCTACCCCTGCCTGGCAAACTCTATGGCCTCACAGATTCACTCCCACTCCACCGTCTGACCAGGCACGTCCGTGGGCCACCCACGCCTGGAAACCCGCGGGCTGGCCGGAGGGGCGAGGCCTGCTGCCGAGGGGGGCGGGTACAAGCCACTGCCTGGGAGCCCCGGTGCGGCGCAGCCTTGTGGGAACTGTAGTTCTCGTAACTCTGAGTCTCCAGGCCAGGCGTCACCGCAGGACTCGTTTTCCCGTGCTCCTGTGCGCGGGTCCACTTGGGACAGGTCCCTGGGTAGGTAAGGAGGTGGGTAGGAGCTTGCTTATAGAAAAGTGGAATCGAGTCCTCTGTGTTAGTGGAGCCGCTGCCGGCGAGGAACTCAGGGCCGGCGCCGGTCCGTTGAAGAGTGCTGGAGGCCAAACTTGAAATACAAGTTTAAGGTTCCCCATCGGGGGAAAGATAAGATTCAGATCTCCCCCGGCCCGGTGTGCAGCAGGAGCGACCAACCCCGACCCGGGTGAAAGCAGGGAACCTTCGCTGTCGCCACCTCGTGTTCTCTCCCCACGTTCCCACTCGGGGTCTCCCTCAGGGCTGGGAGTCACAGTAGTCCCCGCTTGTGGAGGGGCCGGATGTACGCACCCGCAGGTTCCCGCTGAGCCCAGGCGCCCGCAGAGGTCCTGCGTTCGCCTCCTGCAGCCTCAGCCCGGGAGGACGGCGAGGGGCGAGCTGCCGCCATGATCACCGGTGTCTTCAGCGTGCGCGTGTGGACCCCGGTGGGCGTCCTGGCCTCGCTGGCCTACTGCCTGCACCAGCGGCGGGTGGCCCTGGCCGAGCTGCAGGGGGCCGACGGCCAGCGTCCGGTCGACCGCAGCCTGCTGAAGTTGAAAATGGTGCAGGTCGTGTTTCGACACGGGGCGCGGAGTCCTCTCAAGCCGCTCCCGCTGGAGGAGCAGGTGAGAGGTCGGCCATGGCCGGGGCTAGTGGGGCGAGGACTGTGTCCTGGTCAGGCGTCTCGCCCGAACACACATCTTCAGAGCTTTACTCGCCCGGAGTGGGGCAAGGGTTGCGTCCAGACGAAGGGAAAACAGTAGCCAGTACCTCCCCCGGCTCTGGAGCAAAGGACCTGCTGGGGGTAGGACAGCCCGGAACTTCCAGTTTTGCCCTGATGGCGCAGCCAGTAGTAAGCGCTTCTTAAGGCGCATGGGGGTCGCCTGGGGATCTCGTTGCAGATTTTGATTCCGTAGGTGTGGAGTAGTGCCTGAGGTCAGCATTTCTATTAAGTGGGTGAACTTTAGTACCGCGGTGCAGTGCGCTTCTGTGTGACCATTTTGAAGGTGGTTTCCCAGAGCTGAAGCTGACAGGAACCACTCTTAACTGAGATCACAGTGGTTAAGAGGTCGATGCCTTTGGAAACAAACTTTAAAACAGCTTTTTCTTAGGGTTTGCTTGAGGCCATTTGAGATCTGAAGGTTTTTGTGTGCGTGTGTGTGTGTGTGTGTGTGTGTGAGAAATGTATTCTCTAGGGTTCTTTTCTATTTCACGTTACTAATCCTACAGTGGAAGGGATTTGAGGTCTGAAAAAATTAAAAGTGGTCTAGGTTGTGGCTGTAATGTCTTAAAATCTGTCTGGTTTTGTCAGGATAATTATGACAGGCGTGAATAGTTTTTTTTTTTTTTAATGATTGTCTTTCCTGGATGTGGCTTTTCATAACAGAAAGGCCTAGTGAAGAGCAATAGGCAACCCGAAATCCCCAGACCCCAGGTGTCACACCTGTGGAGTGCTTTGGTGTCATTGGTCTTCCAGGTTGATGTTAGAGCAGGTCAAACAGATTGTCCAAAATTGAGGTTACGTATACTCTTCATAATCACAGTTGCTTTCTAGAACCCTTCAGGATTGTGTCTTTACATTGTACAACTGGAAACCCATTTTTCTAAGTTGGCTGCAATGAAATTAAACTTCTTCTTTTTTTTTTTTTTTTTTTTTTTGAGACGGAGTTTCGCTCTTGTTACCCAGGCTGGAGTGCAATGGCGCGATCTCGGCTCACCTCAACCTCCGCCTCCTGGGTTCAGGCAATTCTCCTGCCTCAGCCTCCTGAGTAGCTGGGATTACAGGCACGTGCCACCATGCCCAGCTCATTTTTTGTATCTTTAGTAGAGACGCGGTTTCACCATTTTGACCAGGATGGTCTCCATCCCTTGACCTCGTGATCCACCCGCCTCCGCCTCCCAAACTGCTGGGATTACAGGCTTGAGCCACTGCGCCCGGTCAAAATTAAACTTCTAAAGCATTTTCCACATTAATAAATACATTTGGAAGGCACTTAATTCTATTACCAGGTTTCTAGTTAGCCTTTCTCTGGCTATCCCACTTGCTCTCTGGTACTGGGATTTCTTGTTTCCTTTTGATTCTTTGATCTTTTTCAGTCTCTTACTTTGCCTTTTTATATTAGATCACTAAATTTTCCTTATAATTTTGTACACAGCCCGTCCCTGATGCCCCGCTCCCCCCAGTTCTTCTCTGTTTAGTCTTGGTACAGAAGGACTGGGGAATCGTATATAGGTATAGATACTTCATTCACATACAAGACAAAGTTATCAGTAGCACTGGAGAGTAAAACTTTGCATGTATAGGCCTAGACCTAGTATGTACACTATGTATACACCCTGAAGGCCCTAGGAAAAGATTTAGATTATTTTAGAGGTTTATTCCTAAAGGAGAGTGGTGCTGTGGTGGGTGTCTTCTGCCTTTTCGGTTGAAGGGGCCATTGTAGCTTAGAATCCCAGCTTCATTCATTTTCAATCTGTGTAGCCACAAAATAGCATCCGAATCCAGGGCCTGACTTTGCAATTAGAGAAGGCATGTTACCTCTCCTCTCTGCTTATATTCTCCAGACTTCAGGCAGATGCTTTAAACATCTTTGGTTATCTAGTATAAAGTCTTGTGCATGAAAGTCAGGGGTGACCACCTCTCTTTCAGTTTGGGCTGTGAACAAATATTAGCCTCTTAAAACTTGTGTCTGGATATTCTCTGTCAGGTGTTCATTTCAAGATTCAATTTGACAGAGGTTGTTACCGGGATTTTTGTTTGTTTGTTTGTTTTACAGAGTCTCGCTCTGTTTCCAGGCTGGAGTGCAATGGCCGATCTTTGCTCACTGCAACCTCTGCCTCCTGGGTTCAAGCGATTCTCCTGCCTTAGCCTCCCAAGTAGCTAGGACTACAGGCCCGCGCCACCATGCCCAGCTAATTTTTGTATTTTTAGTAGAGACAGGGTTTCACCATGTTGGCCAGGATGATTTCAATCTCTTGATCTTGTGATCCACCTGCCTCAGCCTCCTAAAGTGCTGGGATTACAGGTGTGAGCCACTGCATCCAGCCATTATTGGGATTCTTTTAATCTTCTTGGTTCTGTCATTAATTATAGTCAGAAGGGACTGCCTGGTAACAATATTTTTGTCTTTGGTACATGTTTCCTGATTTCTGACTGGTTTATAAATTAATATATGTGACAAGTCACTTCAGTTATCTCACAAATTCTCAGAAAGTAGCATGGTTTAAAACTAGATGTTTTGGCCAGGTGCAGTGGCTCACACCTGTAATCCCAGCACTTTGAGAGGCCAAGGCAGGTGGATCACGAGGTCAGGAGTTCGAGACCAGCCTGACCAAGATGGTGAAACCCTGTCTCTCCAAAAATTAGCTGGGTGGGGTGGTGGGTGCCTGTAATCCCAGCTACTCAGGAGGCTGAGGCAGGAGAATCAATCACTTGAACCCAGGAGGCAGAGGTTGCAGTGAGCCAAAGCACTCATTGCACAAGAGATCGCACCATTGCCCAAGACTCCATCTGAAAAAAAACAAAAAACCCAAAATTGGGTTGTTTTCTTATGGCTTGAATGGCTGTTGGTTTAACCTGTTTTGTTAAAAGATTGTGCTTTGGAAATAAAAATATGGAACTTGATTGGCCATTTTTTTTTTCTGATCATGAGACCGGGTCAAAATGCATTATCAAAAGAAAAGATTTGGCACTGCTTTCAGGCTTCCCTCAACTCCCCTGGGTGGCAAGATGGCCTCCACCCAGGGAGGTTTCTCTGTTTTTATAAAGTCCAACCTACCTAGCTTCACTGTTGATTAGGACATCTGGGTCATTATTTATTTGGTCCTATAGATGAGCTGGGAAACATAATGTCAGTATCTTTCATGGCTTAGTACCTTTCCAAACCTCAGCTAAGAAGTGGTATTCAAGAAGCATCGCATGAGGGATGTGCAGTCCCCCATTCTTCTGGGTCAATGGTTCTTAACTTCAATGGAACACTGAAGTCAACTGCGAAGCTTTAAGAAACACATTTGCCAGGGCCTCCCTCCCAAGAATTCTAATTTAATTGGCCTAGTGCATCCAGACAGTGTAAAAGACTGTCTGGTGAAACATGAGAATTAGCTGGACTGAAGAGCATTAAAAAAAGTGGAGACCCTGCTTTTTTGGGGGATAATCTAGATGTGATTATCCCAGGGTAGGACTCAGGCATCGGGAACTTTTAAAAAATGTCCTAGGCCGGGCGCGGTGGCTCAAGCCTGTAATCCCAGCACTTTGGGAGGCCGAGGCAGGTGGATCACGAGGTCAAGAGATCGAGACCATCCTGGTCAACATGGTGAAACCCTGTCTCTACTAAAAATACAAAAAAAAAAATTAGCTGGGCATGGTGGCATGTGCCTGTAATCCCAGCTACTTAGGAGGCAGAGGCAGGAGAATTGCCTGAACCCCGGAGGCAGAGGTTACGGTGAGCCGAGATTGTGCCATTGCACTCCAGCCTGGGTAACAAGAGAAAAACTCCATCTCAAAAAAAAAATAAATAAATTTCCTAGTCATACCAGTGTACAGACAAGGTTTAATACGATTGCTTTAAAAAAAAACTGTATACCTGGTAGGTTTTTGTTTACCTTTATGTCGATTTTTTTCTTTTATTTGAAATTTAGCATATGAATCCCAGTAGAGAATTGCCTTCGCTGAAATGTGCTTTGGTAAGAGACTATCATTCTGTGCTGAGAAAACTAGGAGAAACAATCCCACAGAACTCATTTCTGTGACTACGGAGAAGATGTTCATTATATTACTTTATCGTCTTTATGTGGACCCTTGGGAGCAATTTGTTAGCATTAGAAATGGTGAGCACTGGTAAAGTGTGTGGAAACAGACTGAGGTCCTCATCAGAAGCAAATGCTGGCTCCACGCTTCTTGGAGAGCCTGCAGCACTGTGAGCCAAATAACCTCTTTTCTTTATAAATTACCCAGCCTCAGATGCTCCTTCATGGCAACACAGAAGGTCCAAGACATTATCGTAAGGTTTTTAGACATCTTACACTATGTATAAGACGTGGTGAAATACTAATTCAAAGCACAGACAGTCCGTGATTACAATAGTTTGACGTACAATTTTTCAACTTTACAGTGAGTTCATTGGGATGATTAAATGCATTTTCAACTTAAAAAAAAATGGTGTGCTTCTCCTGAACAATTGGCTTGCTTTTGTCTTTAGCCTAGCTGATCAAGTTTCTTTCTTTACTTAAAAGGAAGCTGGATACCAAATCTGTGGCTCACCTATGGTAAGCCTAAAGATCTTCATGATATACACAGTTTAGTAACCGTGTTACTGCTTCTATTTTTTTTTTTGAGTCGGAGTTTCGCTCCTGATACCCAGGCTGGAGTGCAACGGCGCGATCTCGGCTCACCGCAACCTCCGCCTCCTGGGTTCAGGCAATTCTCCTGCCTCAGCCTCCCGAGTAGCTGGGATTACAGGCACGCGCCACCGTGCCCAGCTAATTTTTTGTATTTTAAATAGAGACGGGGTTTCACCATGTTGACCAGGATGGTCTCGATCTCTTGACCTCGTGACCCACCTGCCTCGGCCTCCCAAAGTGCTGGGATTACAGGCGTGAGTCACCGCGCCCGGCCTCCATTTTTTTT